GGTTGGAATCTGATGATCTTTAAGGTCCCTTCCAACCCAAACCATTCAGTGATTCCATGATTCTGTGACAAGTGTCACTGATGCCTTTGAAGGCCACATGGGACAGCAGGGATGAGACATCCAAGGACTCACTTGCTGGCCAAAATCCAGATTCTTTGGGCTTCTTTGAGCAGCCAGGTGACCACGAGGCTCCTCCCAAGGACCACCAGTCAGTGAGGAGCTGCACATACCTAGCTTGGGCACTGGCTGCGTGTCCCAGAACTGGTAGCTCCTCTTGCTGGCCTCCTCCATGGTTTTGGCAGGACCTTGACCTACAGAGAAGAGCTCGATGGCTTTTTGAATCTCCTGGATCCTCTCAGCAGGTAAAGAGTTCATCTGAGAGCAGAAAAGGAGGGTGGAGAGACAAAATGAGCAAGTTGAGTCATCAGGGCTGTGTTTCAGCTCCTCATCAGGGGAACCTGGAGCTGACCCAGCCTTGGGGCACTTCTGGGATGGGGAGGGTGGGCAGGACAAGCCCTGCCCAGCCTGGATCTCTTGTAACCCTCTACAGGATGGATGAACCCTTCACCAGCCACCCAGCACACATCCAGGCCTGGCTTCCAGGCACTCTTGGGTCACTGAAAGGGCATGACCTGCCTGAAAATGCTTGAAGCTTCAGCTCAGGAGGGTGCTGGGAGCCCCAAGAGCAAACATCTCTGCTGGCTGATGCCCATGCAGAACCACCTTGGGCCAACCCACACCCAGCACTGGGGCTTCTGTGGGGGCTTTTCTCTCTCTGCTTCAGCCTCCATCTCCTCCACCACGTCTGCAAACTGCAGGTTCCAGAGGAGTCCCTGGGCACCTTGGAGCAAGACCAGGTGCAGAGGCCAAGTGAAGATGAAGGACATTTTCCTCCTCCCTCCCATGCAGAGCCTGGGCAGGGTGGGCAGCTCTGTGCTGAGCACCTCCCTGGCTCCCCACCAGGTTAGTCTGAAACACTCAGAGCCCCAGTTTCATGCTCTGCACAGTAAGAAGGGCAACATCTCAGAAGTGTTTGGATGGGAACTGGGCACTGGACAGAAAAATGCCAAGTGCTGGGTCCTGCCCTTGGGTCACACCAACCCCAGGCAACTCTTCAGGCTTGGGGCAGAGGGGCTGGGAAGTGCCCAGGGGAAAAGGACCTGGAGGTGTTGGTTGACAGCAGGATGTGAGCCAGGGGGTGCCCAGGTGGCCAAGAAGGCCCCAGCATCCTGGCTGGTACCAGCTGTGGTGTGGGCAGCAGGAGCAGGGCAGGGATTGTCCCCTGTGCTGGCACTGGTGGGGCCAGACCTGGAATCCTGGGGTCAGTTCTGGGCTCCTGGGGACAAGAAGGACATGGAGGGGCTGGAGCGTGTCCAGGGAAGGGCAAGGGAGCTGGGGAAGGGGCTGGAGCACAAGTGTGAGCAGGAGCAGCTGAGGGAGCTGGGGGTGTCCAGCCTGGAGACCAGGAGCTGAGGGGAGACCTGCTGGCTCTGCAGCTGCCTGAGAGGAGGTTGGAGCCAGGGGGGGTCGGGCTCTGCTCCCCAGGAACAAGGGGCAGGAGCAGAGGAACCGGCCTCAAGTTGTGCCAGGGGAGGCTGAGGTTGGACCTTGGGAACAGTTTCTCCCTGGCAAGGGTTGTCAGGGCCTGGCCCAGGCTGCCCAGGGCAGGGGGGGAGTCCCCATCCCTGGAGGGGTTTCCAAACCCTGGAGATGGTGCTGAGGGACACGGGGCAGGGGTGGCCTGGGCAGGGCTGGGGGAAGGGTTGGACTGGACGAGCTTAGAAGTCTTTTCCAATCTTCATGAGTCCAAGACTCTGTGATTCTAAAGCAGCCCCTGGTGGTGCAGAGATCTGGGGCTGTGTCCATGGGACCACAGAATCATCATTGTTGGAAAGACCTTCAAGATCATCCAGTTCAAGAGTCCACCCAAAGGTGGGGGGGGAGGGAACAATACAACCCAACCAAACAACAACAAAAAGCCCCACACACCAACACACAACCCACAGAATACCCCCCATGTCCCCTGAAGTGCCACAGCCCCAGGTTTCTGGAAGCCCTCCTGGGATGGGGACTCCAGCCCCTCCCTGCGAAGCCCCTTCCAGAGCTCTCTCTGGGGGCAGAAATTCTTCCCAGCATCCAGGCTGAAGCCCCCCTGGCCCAACTTGAGGCCTGAGAAGAGCCCCCCCTGCCCACAAGCTCCTCTCCAGCAGCTGCAGAGCCAGGAGGTCTCCCCTCAGCCCTCTTCTCCCCAGCCTCCACCACCCCAGGGCCCTCAGCCCCTCCTCACAGGACTTGTTCTCCAGCTCCTTCCCCAGCTTGGCAGTGAAGCCACCCCCCTTGACCAGAGGGACAAGCAGGCTGGGGGGGTGTCAGGGGGTCCCTGAGTGTCCCACACTCCTTCCCTGCGCACTGGTCAGGATGGTTCACAGCCCAATAGGGTCAGACAGACCCTGCCCTGCTCAGCCTGCTCTTGTGTTCATCACCCAACAATCAGGGACACCAGATGTCACCCAAGAGCAGGGAAAGGTGCTGGCAGGAGGAGTTTCCTGGTGCCAGGAGGCAGCTGAGGGGTGGAGAACAGAGCTGGGAGGTGCTGGAGAGCAGGGCTGGGTGGGATTCCCAACCAAGGGTCCCTGAGCTGCTCTGCAAACACCTCCTGCAGCCACGGGAATTCCCACCCAGGGAGCCATGCTGGGAAATGACCCCAAACCTTCAGGTTTTTGAGCAGCCAAGAGCCTAAAAACAGGACTGGGAGACTCTTCCCTTGCCCTTAGCCATGTCAGGGGGGCTGGGGAACAGGGCTGGTTGGATCCATGACTGTGGGATGGGGTTGGGCACCTTCATGGCCTGGTCCTGAGTCTGGTCCAGCTGATCTCCTCCTTTCTTCCTTTTGGGTTTCTTTTTCTTCTTTTTGGCTCCACTGTCATTTGCTGGACTCAAACCTCTGGGAAACAAAAGAAACATTGTTAGAGCTGTGGGGTTTTTCTTTTGGAGAACACTGATATGGTCCCTGAAGCTCTTTCAAGGAAATACAAGCTGTGGCTGCCCCATCCCTGGCAGTGTTGAAGGGCAGGTTGGATGGGGCTTGGAGCAGCCTGGGCTGGTGGGAGGTGTCCCTGCCCATGCAGGGGTGGGACTGGATGATCTTTAAGCTCCCTCCAACCCCAACAAATCTGTGATTCCATGACAGAACATGTTGGAGCAGCGTCCATCTCTCTTTCAGGAAGACCAGGGGAAGGAGAGTCAGGAGGAGAATGAGGCTTAAACAAACCCCTGGGCTGAGCACTGAGTGAGTCATGAAACCAGGAAAAAGTAGAGAACTGGTTTTTGGGGAAGAAACTGGTGAGGCCACTGATGCTCACGGGGCGGTTCTGTGGCTGCTCATCACTGCCACGCCAGGTTTCTGCCCTGGGAGCATCAATGGAGACTTTGGGATTGGAGGACATGGAGAAGGAGCTAGGGCAGGTCTCCTCTGGACATGTCACCCTTTCTTCCCCCTGGGAAAGGGCTTTGCCTCCAGGGGGACAGGTGAGCTCTGCCACCACAGCACCAAAGATCCCGGCACCGACCCCGCCCTCCATCCCGGTGACGAGTGTGTGGGTGGTTGGTTTGGAACAGGGTGACATCTGGAAGATCCCCAATCCCTCTGGAATAAGCCAAACCATCCACCCTGGAGCTGCACGGAACACCCAGCTCATTTCTTGACCAACCTTCCTCCCCCAGACTGATGGCACGAGGGGGGTTTGCCAGGGCAGATGCTCTTCCCAAAGGAGCAGCCACGTTCTTCCCAGGTCACCTCCACCTTGGAATGCTCTGGGTGTCTGATGTGACACACAAAGTCCTCCCAGTCCCTCTGCATTCTCTTGGTGTTGCTTTGCTTCATCCATCAGAGCTGCCAGCTCCAAGCTCCCTGCTAATGACTTCAGCCCAACCAATATCAATTCACCCCAGAAAAATCCTCCCTGATTTATGAGCAAAGCTCTTGTGACCTGGAAGGAACCAGGGAGGCAGAAGATGGGATGAGATGTTGCATTCCCAGGCCCTGTGGAGTGGAGGAAGGACTCCTCCAGCCAAGAGGTGAACACCAACCCAGCAGAGTTGGTTCCAACAAAGGAAATGTAAGAAATTTCATGGAAAAACCCCAAAAGTCCATCTCACTCCTCCACGGGGAGGAACAATTAGAGGGATTTTTTATTTTCAAGTCCAGTTGGGAAAGTGAAAACCTTCTTCTTCGTGTTCTGGTGCAGCTGCAGCCCCTCAGGTGCTCCTCAGATGGATGGCAACGTCCCACTGGTGTCCTGGGACCACCCCAGTGCTCCAGCCAACGTGGCCCATGGAGCTGTGAGGGCTGGAGGAGGTTTCACCCCCTGGGAAGGGGTTAAATCCTGCTCCTTGGCCTTCCCACCTGCCCCCAGGGCTTTTTGACTCCCTCTCCCTCTCAGCTTGAGCTGCTGGGAGAGATAAAGTGGGTGGGTGGGGAAGGGTGAGTCAGATGCTCCATGTGGAACATCACCCCATTCCCATGGGATGGCAACAGGCTGGTTTCTGGGATAGGGACAGACTTTGTCCTTCTCCTGGGAAAGGCTTTGCTGCTGTCATGGCCATCACCTCCTGCTGCCACCCCCAGCCCCACCACAGGATGGTCCTCGAGTGAAAGGAAGAGGAACCCACCATAACCCAGAGCAGAAAACAACATCCATGCCCTGAGTGATCATGAACATGGAATTTTGGAAGCACCCAAACAAACCAGCTGGGCTTGTTCAGGGTGAGACAAGCTCAGCCTGCCTGTCCTGCTCTAGCTCAGCCCCTCTGGACGCTGGCAGGCACCAGTGACATCCAGTAACAAACTGGTGTTCAGCACCCACTTGGTGCTGGTGGTCACTGGAACGGGCTGCCCAGGGCAGTGGTGGAGTCACCAGCCCTGGAGGTGCTCAAAAAACATGTAGATGTGGTGCTGAGGGACATGGTTTAGTGGGTATGGTGAGGTTGGGCTTAGAGGTGTTTCCATAGAATCCCTGACTGGTTTGGGTTGGAGGCACCTTCAAGATCATCCAGTCCCACCCCCTGCATGGGCAGGGACACCTCCCACCAGCCCAGGCTGCTCCAAGCCCCATCCAACCTGCCCTTCAACACCCCCAGGGATGGGGCAGCCACAGCTTCCCTGGGCAACCTGGGCCAGGCTCTCACCACCCTCACACCAAAGAATTCCCTCCTCATCTCGAGTGAAAGGAAGAGGAACCCACCATAACCCAGAGCAGAAAACAACATCCATGCCCTGAGTGATCATGAACATGGAATTTTGGAAGCACCCAAACAAACCAGCTGGGCTTGTTCAGGGTGAGACAAGCTCAGCCTGCCTGTCCTGCTCTAGCTCAGCCCCTCTGGACGCTGGCAGGCACCAGTGACATCCAGTAACAAACTGGTGTTCAGCACCCACTTGGTGCTGGTGGTCACTGGAACGGGCTGCCCAGGGCAGTGGTGGAGTCACCAGCCCTGGAGGTGCTCAAAAAACATGTAGATGTGGTGCTGAGGGACATGGTTTAGTGGGTATGGTGAGGTTGGGCTTAGAGGTGTTTCCATAGAATCCCTGACTGGTTTGGGTTGGAGGCACCTTCAAGATCATCCAGTCCCACCCCCTGCATGGGCAGGGACACCTCCCACCAGCCCAGGTTGCTCCAAGCCCCATCCAATCTGCCCTTCAACACTGCCAGGGATGGGGCAGCCACAGCTTCCCTGGGCAACCTGGGCCAGGCTCTCACCACCCTCACACCAAAGAATTCCCTCCTCATGTCTCACCTCAATCTCCCTCTTCCAGTTTTCATCCATCCCCCTCATCCCATCCCTCCCTGCCCTTGTCCCAAGCCCCTCCCCAGCTTTCCTGGAGCCCCTTCAGGCACTGGAAGCTGCTCTAAGGTCCCCCTGGAGCCTTCTCTTCTCCAGGCTGAACACCCCAACTCTCCCAGCCTGGCTCCAGAGCAGAGCTGCTCCAACCCTCCCATCATCTCTGTGACTCCTCTGGACTCTCTCCAACAACTCCATGTCCTTCTTGTACTGGGCACTCCAGAGCTGTTCCCAGCCCTGCATGGGGGGGTCAATCTCCCTCCACCAGTTTAAAATCCATTCCCTCATGTCCAATCTTTCCCTTGTCCCTCCCAAGCTTCCCTGTAGGTCCCTTTTCCAACCTTAAGGATTCCATGACTCTGTCACCTGGATCTCTGTGCTCTCCTGCTCTATTCCCAAGAGCTTTCTTTTTCCATGGTGGTGGAGGAGAGCAGGAGGGAGGACAACTCCAGCTGCTGCCAGCTCCCTGTGGATTCCTCAGCTCCCACAGCCCAGGGAGAAGCTCCAGGTGGGCTCAGGGGGGATTCTGAGGGCCTGGCCAGGGTGTGACCTCCCAGTCCAAAAGCCTTTTTCATCACACAAATCCAACCCTCACATTCAGGCTCTCAGACCCCTCACACCTCACAGCAAACAGTGCCAAAAGCTGCTGGTTCTCCCTCAAAACCCAGCCTGGGATGGTGGGTTCAGCCCAGGACTGGTGGGGTTTGCAGCTCCCCCTCTGCAGGGCCTGGCAGGTGTCAGGTGGGCAGCAGCAGATCCCTGCTCCATATTTAGGTGCTGGAAAATCCTTCTGCCCAACCTGGGGCTAATCAGGGGTGGGACTTAGGGCATAATCTCATTAGGGGCCTCGTGGGGAGGGAGGCTCCTGGGGCTGAGAGCTGGGAAAGACCTTCAGGATCATGGAGGCCAACCACAACCCAACTCTACCAACCATCAACCCAACTCCACCAAGCCCAGCACTGCCCCATGTCCCTCAGCACCATCTCCACAGCTTGGAAACCCCTCCAGGGATGGGGACTCAATCCCTGGGAAGCCTTGGGCCAGACTGACAACCCTTCAGTGAAGAAGTTTCTTCTGATATCCAGCCTAAACCTCTGCTGGTGCAACTTGAGGCTGTTTCCTCTTGTCCCATCCCTTGTTCTTTGGCAGAAGAGCCCAACTCCCCCTGGTTCCAACCTCCTCTCAGCTGGCAGGAGTTTCCTGGTGCTCCATGTAACATCTTCAGCCCAGCTGTGCCAGACCTTGGTGGCTGCTCCAGGAACATCTCATGGTGCAAGTGAGGGCAGGGCCTGCTGACCCAGGCAGCTGCTGCCCCACCAACCAAAGCCCATCCAGCAACCACCCAGCTGGTGCCACAGGCCCATCCTTGAACACTTCCCACTTCCCTGGGTGGTTTTTTGTCCCTGTTCCACAGGGCTGGGACACCTGGGGCCTTGGTGACAATCCCAGTGGCCACGTCCATGTCCCTGCTTCCCTGGTGTCTTTTGTCTGCAATAGGAATAAACCCTCAGCAGACCCTGGAGACAGGACAGGAGCCTCCTCCACACAAAGGGAAGTGTCACCAATATGAACATGGGATCCTCCTTCATTTGGGGAACTTCCTTGGACATCTGCAGCAGAGGGAAATGCAACCACTTCCCAGCTGGGCCCAAGGTGGAGGGAACTCAAATCCTCTTTCCTGGCCTTGAAAGGAAAGGAACCATCACCCTGGCCAGGCAACAACGTCGTGTCTGACACCTCCCAGCCAAGACCCTGGGGCTCCCAGCAGGAACTGGGCAGGGGCAGGACTCCCAGCTTGGCTCTGCCAACCCTGCCAGCTCAGAGCACTTCTCCTGCCCCATGCTTGGGGACAGTGTCCAGCTGGGGTGACCAGGGACACTCCCACCTCCCAGCAGGACATGACAGGAGGAAACCAACACAGGAAAACCACCACTTTTCCTACCACCTGCTCTCCTCTCTCCAAGGTGGGTCTGTGAGGTTTTGAGGGGACAGATTTACCTCCCAAGCCTCCCTGGCTCTGCCATGCCCACCAGCCACCTTCTGAACCTCACGTCCTGAGCCACCCCAACCCCCCAGGTGTTTTTCTTCACAAAATGTTTGGGCTTGGAAGGCACCTCTGGAGA